CTCCAGAAAACAATGAACTTGTCCAATTTCCAGTATTTGGAACAGTCCAATATGGATTTATGGGGATATTAGGATAAAAATAGTCGGTCATATAGTCTGTGATGAGCACTGAGCCACACTTTGGATGCGTTTCAACGTACTTAAGTTATAGTAACTCGAGTTTGAATGTAACTTTTTGCATAAGCAGAACTTAGGTATTTATTTGCGTTTCACTCAACTTTCTTAGTTACGCATTTCATATGTTTGTTTGATTGGGTTTTACGTCACACCGACACAGTATAGGTCATATGGCGACGTTCCAGCTTTACTGGTGGAGGAAGACCTCAGGTGCCCTAATCTGTGCATTAATTCACGGGCACCTGAGTAGAACCACCGACGTTCCGTAAGCCAGCTGGATAGCTTCCTCACATGAAATAATCCAAAGTCCCTGCCAGGATTCGAACCCACAGCGGTCAGGGGTTGCGTATGTCAAAAGTAAAGTTACCCTCACTTATTGCTGGCGTAAATTGCACGTTCTGTTAGTGAAACAGTAATTTTACATGTTGCGTAAGTCCAAATTTACGTAAAAAGATATGCTAAACTTAAGGAATATAAGTGAAACGTTCGGCTGGGTCTGTTCTTGGGTGGTATAAAGACTGGTCACTTTTGGTTCCAGCAGAGTAAGAGTTGGTAATGAACTATTTTTGAATACTTTATTGTTACTCAAATATTGTATATAAGGAAGTAATTTACCATGATATTGTTACATAAATTGTTCCATTTCCCTGATGTTATGTATGGTAATAAGTATTTGATAGGTTTAGATTGAGATTGATATAATGTATGGAAGAAGTTATAAATTTCCTCATAGATCTAGATAGAAATACAAATGACAAGTGTATTAGAATGGAATATAATTATGGTATGTCATGGAAAGTTAAAGAAAACTCTCTGCACACTTCTTTAAATTTTCATTCTTTGTGAATTAATGTGAAAAATGCAATACTCCCTGAAACTACTTTAATTGTGTTTAAAACTTGATTAAATGCAAGTTGTATTTATGATAAGAAGTGAAAGTAAACATTTCTTTGCCTCAATAGTAAATGAAATTTTCATATTTACTATTAAAACTATGCTATGAGAACTGGCTTCTCTGGGCTGGATATTTAGCATAATTGATTGATGTGTCTTTTTCAAATTTTAAAAATTATAGGCTCTAGTCATAATGTAGCCATTTTAAATTTGAAAACAATATTCTGAAGAGAATTTTTGCCAAATATTTTCTGGCATGCAATTTCTTTTTGTCTCCCAAAAAACAAGATGTATATCTTATTTAATACAGTATTAATTGTTGCCAGACAGCCATTGACCAAATATTGCACATAAGAAGAAAAATGGCATGAAACTTATCCAAAATTTGATGTAAATTTTTCTCATTACCTATGTTGCCAAAATGAAAACATAAAAAATGTCTGCTACAGAATCTGCAATTTAATAAATATTTAGACAAATAAATGTTTTGAACCATTAACATTGAAATAGAGCATGGTTTGACATGTTGGCCTTACTCTTTACTTGTGACAAAGGGTTATTGAGTTGCGGCATGGCTGAGTTGTTAACGCGTCAGACTCATAATCTTAGGATTGCTGACTCTATGTGTTCAAACCTCGCAATGGAGTCATTAGCCGTTGTTTCTATGAGCAAGAAACTTTACACTCATTGCTTATAGTACTAGTTGGTTCCAGGAACAGATTTGAGAGTGTTTCAATAAGCTTATAGCTTTTAGCACAATTTAATTGAAATAAATTGGTAAAAACTAAAGGCTTATCATGTTTGGTTTCAGCTGGTGGAGGGATTTAATAATACAAACCCTGGTGCTGTAACTTTAAATTAATGCTTTCATGTTTAATTTATTTTCTGTCCAGCTTTTTTGTGCTCAAAATATAAAAAGTGAGCTACCATTTACTGCATAGGGCCTGACCAGATTTCCTGGATGTGGCAAAATCGGGATCAAGCAGGTAAAAGAATAATGGCAAAAAGAAAAAATCTAGATTTGCAATCAATTACATGAAAATCTATATGGTTTGTCCATATATATCAAGGGTCTACTGCAAAACTGCAATAACTTAGAGAAGGACTTACAACAGTTTTTGCGGTCAACCTTCCATATATCAATCTTTGAACAAGTGTGACACCATGTGATAAAAATGTTGGTCAGCTCAGTAATTGACCACTATGATACCTAATGTACAATTTTTTCTGTGATTTTCCTTGAAACACAGGATTATTTAAAGCCATGTGTTTCCTAGGGAGAAAAACCTCTTTCTTACCCTGTGATTGACATTTATGGATTTTGTGTAGAAGTAATGTTGTTTCTTTAATAAAATAAGAGGGGATATATGGTGTCTACTGTTCCGTGCTATGCTTGTAGATGGCTTTTTTGTTTATGGCGATACAGGCATAATAAGGAGAGCGGTGCTGGTGGGGGGGGGTCGTACATTATACACGTTTGGGAAGATAGACTGAAATATAAAATGTTTTAATATTGTTTCAGTATTTTCTGAAGATTTCTTTTTCTTTTTGGACAGAATATGTTAAAAAAAACTCTGATATGTTTTGACTGTGATGGAAGTTGACTAATTTTAATCTTTTATTATTTTGTGTGTTGTGTTTGCAAGTTTTATTTCAAGATCTCTTGAGGAATCTGTACAAGACTTTTGTCTGATTCAGTTTAATGAGACCCATTGAATTTCCTTGCAAGTTTTGATATGAGCTTATTCTGTCTATTTCTAGAAAATGCAACTTGTTGGTGTTCTTGTTGTAAGCTCTTTGTGCTTGGCAAGTGAGTTAAAGCCGAATTAATTTAGATTTATATCTCCTTATATACTAAATAGGAAAATAAATTTGAATTTATAAAATCTTCTTGTGAGAAACGACAAGATCTTAAGCCTGAATCATATGGTAATTTTGTAACATAATTTTTCCAAATTGGCCTCTGCAAAGCATAAAATACATGGACATGGGTTTCAAAAATTGCCCTGCTCTTTAGAACTTTTCTCCATTTCATCAGGTGAGCGATATAGATTCATTTGGAGTTCTTGGTTTGTTTGGGGGTTTTCTTTAATCTTTTTTTTTTCAACAATACAATTAAGGTGCAGCAACTTTGGATTAATTTCTTCTGGTTTTTGTTTAAACATTGTTATGATTTTCTTGCTGCAGCAATTGTGTACAAAGTTTCATTTCTCGAAAACTTGTCCATAATTTTGTCAAGTATCTATTTTCATTAATCACTTATGATTGAATTCTCGCAACAATTGAGCTGTGGTAATTATATTCTAGATGGATTATTGATGACCGTTGATTTGATTTTCGGGATTAATTTAAGAGAGAGAATAAATTTAATTGAAGTGTTTGCAATAGATTTTCTCGGCAGGTCTTTTTTTTCCATTGATTTTAGTATTTTAAAGAATGGAAAGAAGGAACGGGATTTAGTGAGAATTTTATTCATGAAAACTAATTGTTGATGTTTTTTCTGTGTTAGGGTAAGTGTCGTATTGTGAATATATACTTTATTTATGAAAAGGGAGGTAATTTTTTATTTATATAGATTTGGGAATTGTGTTTAATTGAAGAGTATAAGTGTGACAAGTTTAGTATTTGTGGACTTTATTTTTATTAGTAAACCTCAGGTAAACAATGATGTCTTGTGAACAATGCAGACTTTATTTTTATTAGTAAACCTCAGGTAAACAATGATGCCTTGTGCCAAACATTTATTTCTCAAAGGAGTTCTGTGATCATCTGACTAATTTTAACAGAATTATGGCCCATTATGTATTTTTATTTAGAAATGTAATATTTGCAGAAAACCATTTTTGTGCCCTTTGTGGCTCAGGGGTTGCCTTTAATGAATGAGGCATTCATCCCTCGTGATTATAGTAAGAGGCGACTTAAATGGGTTCAAATAACTGGAGTCTATGCATCTCTTAGCTCCAGCAGGTCACAGAGGTGGTTTTGATCTCTGGTGTTGCTTTGATATTTATGACACCCGAGGTTAGCCAAAATCATCTTTCCTGTTTCGGTGCTTCATGACCTAAATTGTGTTGGTGCGCCATAAAACCAAACAAATAGAAAAAAAAAAACGTTTAATTAATTGAAGTCCAAGTGAGATCTTTTTTTTTTTTTTTTTTCAAAATTAATTAACAATATTTTATATGGTATCTCTCTAGTATAATAATTCTTTTATATTTTGTATTTATTGGTGTGATGTGATATCAAGTAGGTTTCTCTAACAATTTGTCTCTATATATTGACAACTTTCAGGGATATATTTTCCCATTTAGTATATTATCAATTACATTAGAGCTGTAGTTAAGTTTGATATCCAATTTATTATTGTATTAGAAATATACAACATGGTCGATTGTGGATGTTTCTTTCATACAGCCTCACAGGATATTCCCTATGACATGTTGTACATTGTGAAAAGATGTCATAATTTTGGCTATCATTTGGTCATAATATAAATACATGAAATATGCATATAACATGTTATATTGAAATAGCATCCACAGTTAGAATATATAAAATCTATATGAAATTCAATGAAATTGATAGGTTGCCAAAATTGAGGAAAATTAAATTGATTGAATATGGTAATGGAGAGGCTGTACTGGTTTTTAGTCATTTTAACTCTGATTTGGTACAAATTTAAAGTGAATTGGTCTAGTAATGCAAGGTCTGTAATACAGTATATAATTATGTTGATAGTATTTTAAGTGTCAGGCATAACAAACAAACGAGGAAAGAATTATATATGGAGGCTGCTGGCAAGTGTTAGATACATGATACAATATTACATATACTTATACTGTATTTATATAGCAAATAATAAGAATAAAGTTTAGTGCAAGCCAAATCCTAAACACACGTTTTTTTAAAAAAAAATAAAAAATAATATTTTAAAAATTCTTTAAAAATGATATAAAAAATAACCAAATTTTTTGTGTGTGTATTTTCAGGCTTTACTACAAGCGCACGATGTTGTGGCCCATGAAGTGTACAGTGACGAGGCTGTGAGAGTCACGCCCACAGCTCCAGTCTCTCCGTTCCTTAATGGTAACGTTGAGCCGGACTCACCAGAAACGTCGGAAATGGAGAATGTCACTAGAGTTCGACTAGTGCAGTTCCAGAAAAATTCTGATGAGCCAATGGTTTGTTCTAAATATGTTCAGTTTTATTATGTTCATTATTTAAGGAGAAAAATTATTCATATATACACTGTAACCTCATTATAACGATCATGTTTATATACAAGGTCTCAAAACGGCATAATAATGAGGTTCTTATATATCATGCTCATGGCGAAATTACCACATTACCCCATCCACCCTTAATGTACTATCCTAACAGGTGACTTAGATTTTATTTCCTCAGATTCAACACCAATTTTGGTCATCATCATCAGTCTAAAAAGAACTAGTAATAATTGTTCATAATATCATAGTCTCTATATATTGATAAATTCTCTGTCAACATGAAGGTTGAACAAGCGGAAATATTCTAGTGTATGTTAAAGATAACTTTGGTATCAAATCATCATGTCAGGAGTTACTCCTTGTAGCTGATGGGTTGAGGCATAGAATTGCAGCCACCATTTATTCCTTCATGACCGTAAGAGGCGACAAAATGGGTTCAAATTTTATGCATCTCTTAGCTCCTGCAGATGAGGTGGTAACTGATTCTCAAAGTTAGTAACACCCAAAGTTAGCCAAAATCATCTTTTCTGTTTTGGCACCATATGACCTAAATTGTGTTGGTGTGCCGTAAAACCGAACAAACAGACATCATCTTAGGAGAGTTACATGCTTGTTTAATGTATAATTATATAAAAACACTTTGACAAACTGTTGCTTAATGATAAATTGCCTTAAATTATCCCATTAATTCAGCATGTTTAATGAATTCATTATAAAAAGATATTTAAATTTATACCCTGCAGTAGGCAATTATGCAGATGTTGTGCCTAGAAATGATATTAAAATATGAATTTACTTGGAAACATGTTTTGATAATTTGACAAAACTCTGAAACTTAAGACAGTTCTGATGAATTTGTAATTTTATTACCCTCGTACAGATCTGCAGAAAACTGCATAAATTTAGTTGTAGACATAGTTAGGAACATGGTATTTTGATTGTTTGGAGTTAAAATAAAAGAATTTAGAGAAAAGGTCAAGGTCAAATGAAGTCCTACTTCTTATAACATAGATGCATGTATCTTGTTATCTTGGCTGTAATATTATACAAATTGAAGTTTCAAATTATACTGTCATTATAATCTAAATTGATTCTGTCTATTTAGACATTTCAAATGTTTTAAGTTTTTTCTTTGACATCAATGAATTTTTAGATTGTGATAGCTACTAATTGTAGCAAATTCAAAAATAATTTTCATTCATGAACAATGAAAATATATATAGGACATGGGCAAATCCAGGAAAAAATCTTTTCTAAATTTTTCTTGAGTAGAAAGTTCCAAATTAAAATTTTAAATTGTTTACATAAATATAGCACTCCAAGATAATGAATGGTACATTATCAATATGGCAGTTGAAAAATAATTGACAAGTATAGATCATTAAATTGTAACAAATTTTGGGAAAAAAAATATTGAATTGTTGTTGTTATAATGGATATACTATTATATAAGGATATTCAAGTTTTTTCTATAAATATAGAATCTATTTTTGTCGAGTGGTATGAAAATAAATATTAGTAGCCACAAGTGAAATATGATAATTTTCATACCACAAGATGAAAATAAATCCTGTATAAATAGAAAAAACTTGAATTTTCTGTTTATTATATACATTTTTCTCTTTTTTGACATCACAATTTGAAAGACTTTCCCTTAAATTTTGTATATTGGCTGAATTTAGCAGAAAGTAGTCCGGCAAGACACCAGTGAAAATATGGAAAATATGTTTCACTGCAGTGAAAAATAATTTTTTTTACAGTGAAAATACGGAAAATGAAAATACGCATTTTATTTCATCAATATTTCTCAATATATAATAAACTGAGATATTTGGTTGATTTATTTAGGGTATAACATTGAAGATAAATGATGAAGGTCGATGTTTGGTAGCTAGAATAATGCACGGTGGTATGATACATCGTCAAGGTACGTTACACGTCGGTGACGAGATTAGAGAGATCAACGGTAACAGCGTTCTCAATCAAAGTGTCGAAAGTCTCCAAAAAATGTTGGTAAGTATTTCATTAACAAGAGTATGACTGTCTTCAAATAAAAAAAATGATTATATATTTAAGGTGTTTGCCTACTAAGTTGTTTGCAAATTATGGTGTTTGCATATCTATGATTTACCGTAATATGAATTTCTACAAAATTTATCAAATGATTTTAAATTGTTACTCAAAACTGTTAATAATATAAATCTGGATGCTTTTTCATCTCAAAGAATCATTTGAAACGTTTGGTTCTTTTCATAACTGAACAAACTAAGTTTTGGAGCATATAATGGACAAGTCCGACTTCCTGTCTGTTTCATGGTTTGCTCTAGAAATAGATGACAAATTTTTAAAGGTTTTGTACATTTGTGTTAAAATTAAATCAAATCAAGACCATTATCAGCTTAAGCTTCAGATAACTTATTATTGGCAGAGTTATTGCCCCTGTTCAGTTTTTAATATACCTAAAATAGTTAACAGACGAAAACACCAAAATAAATGACTGATAATGTTAAAAATATTAGTCATTGATTGAACATTAAAAAATACTGTTTGGCAACAATTAAATAATTTTAACAGAGTTATTTCCCCTACACATATTAGTTTTTTGAGCATAAATAAAAATTCTGAAGTTTTCAAATGAAATCTCCTAAAAAAGTGACAGGTTAAAACATTTTGAAATTTTATTATAAAAAAAATTGCCTTCTCCTTTGTAAAACTCTTAACAGTCTGATTCAGGAATTTCTTCATGTCGAAGAAAAACCAGTCTAATGCAAATAATTTGAATGAAATCATTAAAGCTATTTCATCTTAAACTTTTTTTGCAGTCAGCCAGGTTTTTTTGGAATTGGTTCATCTGCATAATGGACCGAAAGGATAAAATTTTATGAGTCATTCCTATGCAAATCTAAATTAATAAGTAGATATACAGTAGAAATTTGTCTCTGAAGTATTCAAATATTACCTTATATTGCATGCCAGACTGTGTTTAAATTTGATCGGAATGAAGGCTCTGTGTGGAATAATAACATAGAACCATTCCATGTGTGTGATCTAAATAGACATCCACATAACAATCATTTGGGTATAATAAAATAAACATATATTTTATGGTATGTTTTCCTGAACACATGCAATCTTTACTTACTTTTTTTCTGCTTTTGAATGTGGTTTTATTATGAGAAAGTCTTGAGAAAAAGCAATTTATCACAATATCAATGATCGAAAATTCCACAGGTCTGCTTGTATTTTCTTGAAAAATCAACAGTCGGACAAGTAGTATGAAGGTAGTCTGTTGGTCCTAAAAGTCGAGTGGAGTATTTGACAGAGTAGAACACTGCTGGAATGAACATTATTTAATACTTACATGAGTTATGAAGGAAAACCAATATTCAAACCAATATTATGGGGTTATATAAAATGTAAACTATTTAAACTGATGGGCGCAATTGACTCATGCTGCCATAATCACTTTACACTGTGTCAATTTTACACTTTTATCAGTGTCTATTCTAGGAATTGAAAAATAGGGGTGATTTTCCCCCCTCTATTTCAAAAAAGGGGGCGATTTTCAAAATCAAAGGGTGCCAATATAAACTGCCAATGTTAAATCGTCTGCATTAAGTTTACACTGAGGCGTTCAACCAATGAAATAATTAAAAGATAATATTTATTTAAGGCAGCAGAAGTTGTCCCCCCTTAATTTTTAAACGAAAACAAATTATTACAGAACTGCCGCGATTGATTATAAAGGGATTGGCAATACAAATAATCGAACTATCTTTCACGTCTAGATCGTAGCCAAGCTAGGAATTGCCTCATTTTTCTTGATTATTTACTACACTAAAATGGCGCCCAACTGTCAGACCTAGCACACTAGTTCCGGTCGATACGGAACATTCCGTTAATTTCCGTCAACTCACGTAACCAGTACCATACGGTACTAAATTATTATAATTAGCTTACAGTTACCTCCCTTCGGTTTTCCGTGTAAATGTAAACAAAACAACCAAATATAATGCGGGATGGAAGTTTTACGGTTTTATTACTTTTTTTTATAGATGCGCGATTTTCACGCACATCATTTTGAATTGTGCGCGATCTGTGAAATACTAGCGTGAATCGCGCAATTGCGTGTCCTAGAATAGACACTGCTTTTATACCCCTAAATATCAACTTGATTTCTAGGCTCATAAAAAACATTAATTCCAACAGTCTTAAAGTTACAAGCATCCAACCAATTTATAAGTATATTCATTATTCATTTAATAAGTTACGACTTTTACAAACGCCTTTGACTGGCACAGTTAATCTTGAAAATCAAGAATGAAATACAGGACATGTTGTGTTACATGCAGGACAAGAAAATTTAGCAGTCACTTGTCCTGCAGGACCAATTCCTCTGGGGAAAAAAAATGTGATACCAGAGAATACTTTCATAGTGTTTATTTTTTGGTAAAGCCAAATGACCAATATCCAAATACTTAAAAGCAAAGGTAGATTATACAGACTTTTTGATAACTTGATATAGAGGATATTTGTTTAGTGGCAGTGTAAGATCGGAATATATTTCACCGAGTGAGCACCAAAAGGTATATTTCACGAGTGGCGCAGCCACGAGTGAAATATGAACTTTTGGTGTTCACAAGGTGAAATATATTTCAATCTTACACTAAACTAAACAAATTTTCTTTTAATTATATGCAAAGAAACGTTTTAAAAAGACATTTAACCTAATACTGAATGAAAAGCGCGCCAAATAATAATATAATGTGACGTCATTTACGACGTCACGTCATTAAGTTGGTTCCCAGTACTGTGCACGCTGGTATTTCACTGAAATAACGTAAGGGGCTTAAATTCAAAACAGTGAAATTATCAAAGTGGTAATTTCACTGTTTCAAACAGTGAGATTACCATTTTTATATCACTGATATTTTTCTATAAACCACCGAAAAGCATGTAATAAATGTATGTAAACTTGTATTGATGATCATCTTGGCTTTATCGGGGTTGTATTTAACTGACTGGCAAAAATCGTGTATGCAATAAAAAGATTGCTTCCATTGTGAAGTAGCTTTCAAGATATTTTTAATGAAACATTGATTAAAATTTTGTTTAAATGCTGGGAGTATTTCTAGTTGCTATTGATACATCCTAGAAAGAAGGAGATTTCTTTAAGTTTGGAAAGTGATTGATTTAAATGCTGTTTTGCTGAAATATTGGCATTCATGCACAAGAATTATTATCCTAAAATGCTACTGGAAGATTAGATGGAATATTACTGGAAGGTTTGATGGAAAATTACATGTAATAGGAGATAAAGAGAATAATTTTAAAAGAATTGGCTTTCATAGTTCAATTCAATACCTTAGTGCAATAACTGGTTAACTCGTATTAAATTTAGAATGATTTAACCCATTACTGCACTAAGGTGACAAATTATTGTTGTGGTAATTATTATCAAGGCTCATGACTGAGAGACATTTGTTTAACATGTGTATTTATCTTGTGCAATTTTATATGATTGTAAATAGTCAATTTCCTATGATTGAAAATGATCACTTCCCTGCTAAACAAGCAAAGCCCAACCTTTAACCTCCTAAATTTATGTAATGGATTTGCCCAATATTAAAGTTGGAACAGTCCATTTATAGAGGGATTTTGTTTATAAGGAATTTCATCAATACAAAATACAAAAAGTATAGAGCCTAGAGTGCATGATGTGCATACTGGCCAAACTTTTTATTAGTGGCAAAACTAATATCCTTTAGTTATGGGCACAAAATCCTGGTACATGTAATTGTTTTTAATAGTTGATTAATTTTGAAGGAAATATCACTATCTTAAGTGTTCCATCTTTTATTCTTGCATGCATGTATACATTTAAAGCGAAAAAATGCAATAACTGATACAATCCTGCAAGTGTGTGCTGTTCTTTAACATAATATGTGTGACTCGGGGCGCCATGTAAAAAAGCTTACTGCTATTATTGACCCAGTAGTTTCATTATCAACTCTGAATTACTGAAAGATATTTTTATGCAAGATTTTAATGCACCTTATGTTCATTCATAAATATTATACATCAATAAAGGGTTAACACACATTTTTTTCAAGCAATAACATCTGCAGAAGCCCTCAGACTTATGCCCTTAGGGCTCAGGCTTTAAATGCATACTCATGCTTCTGATGATGTAAATGCATGAAAAAAATGTGTGTTAACCCTTTATTGATGTATAATATTTATGAATGAACACAAATAATGACCTGGTTATTTGTAGAGAGTACAGGGAACTATAAGTTTCAAGGTGATACCGAGCGCACATGGCCTGGTTTCTCGGGAACGATACGAGAATAACAACCATAAAGAGGTGGGTAATATGTTTACACTGACCAATACAAGTCAGTGGTGTTGATGATGATTTTGATGATTATATTATTATTATTATGCTTACAAAATCATGATGTTGAAACATACCCCTAAACCCCGCCCACCATTAAAATGAATCCCGCCTACCATGATAATGAGCCCAGCCCACGATTAAAGTGAAGGTAAGAAATCACAGATGGAATGAATTAATTTTAAAAAAGTAGTATTCTTTTTTTTGTCAAAATTAAAAAAAAATTGGCTTGCCGCCTTCTTAAAGGGAGATGAATAAAGTAGTTTCAACATCATAATTTTGGTCATAATATTGTCAGTCTAAAAATTGTTACACTTCATCGTTATGGTAATATAATAAAACTGTGGGGGAAAAAATGGATTTATTTTCTTAGATGGATTTTTGAAAAAACAAAAAAAAACAGCGAAATAATATGTTTAGGGAAAGTGAAGCTGCTTTAAGGAAAGGACTTGAAGTGTAACATTTATTTGACTATTTCACCTTTTATATCTATACTGCCAGCAAGAGTAGGTTTGTTTAAAAAGGCTATTTTATTTCTTTACTAAACAAATACTTAAATTATAAGTCAATTATTTATCAAATAGTTTTTGACTTTTAAGACTTGAAAAATTTGAAATAGCTAGAATAATAGTGCATACATACTTCTGTTGGGCAGTATAGGTGGAAAAAAAATGTTTTGAAAATCACCGTTCTATGTTTAGAATATTGTATATACACAAATTGATTACAGAGATCCGCTAATGGAAATGTATGCTTGAAGATAGTCCCTAGTTATCAGGGTCCAGTCCCACATTGTGAGGTAAACAAAAAATAGCAGACCCATTGTGTCTTAACCCCACCCACTGTAGTCAGACTGACCTTGAACTTGCAGCAGACGGCATGCTTGTAATGCATGCTGGTATACATGTAAATTAACCTTTAACCTGCTGAATTTGTGTAATGGATTGATCCTGCTTTGAATTTGGAACAGTTCATTTACAATTTAAGGGATTTCAATATCAAAATACAAAAAATTGAGCTTCCAGCAGTATAGAGCTTTAGTCAGACTTCACTAATGTGTAGGGCTAGACTACACTGATATGTAGGTCAGACTATACTATTGGTAGGGTCAGACTACTCTATTGTGTAGGTCAGACTACACTAATGTGTTAGGTCAGACTATACTATTGGTAGGGTCAGACTACACTAATATGTAGAATGGGGAAGACTCTAGACTAATCACATGGTTTCAGCAGGATAAGGGTTTTTATATTAAGCATTTAATGATAAATGGTAAAAACTGAAATGGTTGCATGATTGTTGGAAAATATTTTTATAAACTTCATTCCATTACAAAATAGTAATTTTTGAGTTGAATATTTCTAATTATTTGAATTAATTTTTTTCCATTATTTATGTTGGTAATTTGCATTAACAAAGTTTAATTTTAAGTACTGTGCCATTTTCTGCGCCAAAGCTTTCTATAAACTGATTGTCTCTTACTTCTGTTGGTATATGGACTTAATTTTGTAAAATAATGTTCTTCAATCTGCTATTGATTAAAAGCTTGTCAGTAGTAATAGCTCACTGCTCAATTAATTCTAAAAATGTAGAAACTATACTTATTTTGACATTTTTGAAAGGATATCGTTTGTTTTGTTTTGACCATTATTTATTAGTTTAATGATTTATTATTATGACTTTATGTTATTGTGTGCATTATCATCTACCATAAAATGCCAGAAATAAGTTAAGCATTACCTGGGCATGTATGTGTCTATCTGGCAAATTCTTCTACAGTAAAAATTTTTCAACTGTAAGTGGAAATGATTTGATATTATTAAAAAGTGGAATTGTTAAATGGTTTGTGTATAATTGAATTAGATCTGTCAATCTTTGCCAATTTGATAAGTAAATCTACTATAACCAGAGTTATTGCCCCTTATATGCTTAAAGCCGGCCTAATGCTTCCCTTTGTTTGTAAGAGAGCTATTTTGGTACACACATTTAATAACATGGTTACAATCTTTATCTTTAAATAATCTAAGGGAAACTACTTAACTACTTATGTATACTGTCATCTAAGGGAAACTACTCTGCCTGATGTATATTGTCATCTAAGGGAAATTACTCTGCCTAGTAGCAGTTTTTCTGTTGGGATATGATAGTTCATTGTTAAGTTGATTTGTTTACAATTTTGATAGATAAATTTTGTATAATATAATATAATCAAATTTATATTAAATCGTTTTGTTTTTGGATGTTATTATGTGTATAAATTTTATTTATTTTCAATGTGTTATTATTATTGTGTGTATTATGCTTGGAAGTTCATTTTGTTTTAGTATCTTGATATTAAAATTAGAATGTTGATTGATTATTTGGGTTCTCTTAAGCTGTTATATGATATTTAATAAAAGATAAATACTCACTTGGTTACACACATGACAGGACTTTCCAGAATTACTACCCTTGTCTGTCAGTTTATGCTGAACATGGTGATAATTTAGACTTCAGTCATCTATTAAATGAGAACAGTACAATAATTTCACTTTTTTTCTGGCACAGATAAAAACATGTGATGATTATTATTTATAATGTTAGATAAACAACCAACAATTAATTTGCATAAGGCCCTATTCAATTTAAAAAAAAGATAAGTTTCATTAATGTTAGAACTGTTTCTTCTTGTTTGTGAAAGAGGGCAAACATTTGCCCTAGACGTTCATTACTAAATATTACAATATTTAAGTCCATATTGGTTACAATTAAATGAGTCAGGTGATTTAATTTATAAAAAAAAAAGTCCAAGATGATTTTGACCTAATTTTAACTTTAAGCTTTATGTATAGTAGGGATTAAACGATGATCGAGTATAATCGAAAATTGATCGTTTATAGAACCGATCAGCGATGATCGATTACAAAGTTTAATAATCGATTATCGGTAATTCATTTTCTTGCCGTTACTTAAGTCAGACTCACTGTATTATAACAACACTAAATTAAAGCCAGTTTTGGTTGAAACAATAATTTTTATTCAATTGAATATGAAAGTACATGTATACTGGTGACCATGGAGTTAATAGTTGACTGTGAGGCATGCTAGTTTAAAGGTATACTATGCTCAAATTTGACATTAGAGAATATTGAAATTGCTACACAGTCTATTTGTAAATATAAAAATGTTTTGACTTCACACAAAGAAGATATGTTATGTATAAAATTATTCTACACACTAAAGGTGGTTGCAATATCAATATATAGTGTCATTATAAAAAAAAATGGCAGTTTTGTTAAGAAAGGACCAACTTAACTTGTTCCCATACATAGTTTGTTCATTGCTTTTTGGAAGTGAGACATAATAATTTCATAGATTTTAACGAATTTATTTGATAAAAATATTTTACTCAAGGATGAGCATAGTATATCTTTATTAATAAACTAATTTATTTCAGTTGATAAAGTGGTGGTTACATGGAAATGGAATTCTTATAAATATTAAAGCATGATATGAACATTGTACATATTTACTTTGTTATAGTAAATGTTTCGATTATATAATCGATGATTGATCGAAAAGGGTGGTTCGATTATTTTCGATGATCGATTATGAGTTTTGTCCGATTATGAAACCCTAATGTATAGACAGCATGGTTTGGTTTTAATCCTAAGAACTTGATGAGTAACAGCATGTCATGGAACATGTTATGCCAACACAATCTAATTAAAGGCACTGAAACAAAAACATCTTTTTATCCTCATTACTGACAGAATAAATAGAAGGTTCTGTCTTGATTATCATGTATGTATACTGTAACAGCACCTTGTAACTATTTATATAATGCACATCATTTTGTATGATTTAAATGTAAACAATTATCATAAATTCCTCAGTATGAATCACTTCATTTTATTATATGTTACTCAAGATTAGTTGATTTATATAAGAGTCCAATTATTCTTTTTTCTTTTCAACCACATATGGTTATATATTTGTATAAAACAAGTTCTAGCAGTGTGAAACTTTAGCCTCAAAATATATATAAGTGTATATATACATAATGTTCATTGCTCTGTCCATCTGTTTCAGATCTTTGTTCGCGCCTTATTTGACTATGATCCACAAGAGGATGACCTAATACCATGTTCACAAGCTGGTATACCGTTCCAAATGGGTGACGTTCTCAGGGTATATACTATTTTACTATCTTTATTATTGCACTAGTCGTAACCATACATCTAAAATAATAACATATTGAAATTATTGTATTTGTGAAAATCACACCTTACATGGGATTTAAACCTGTTACCACCAGCTTGCAAGGAAGAAAACAACAATACTATAGTCCACCAAGCCAAAGAATGAATTTCCTTGATGCAGTTGTCAGAAATTGTTTATCTAGGAAATGAGGTGTACTAGTATATAACACCTAGTATAATTATATTTATTTAAGCCTGATTGTGGTAAAAATGTTATTTGTAGCACTTTCAAGTGTGCTTCCTTGAACTTCTCAAGCTGTTCATGATGAAACACGAAGGTGACTCGAGTATGTCTTGAACCAATTATTCCTGGGTTTAGAGGAAGAATTCATAAACAAGAACATAATTAATACCTTGCTGGTACTTGATTGTATTTGACAACTTGGTGGTTCTCTTTAGGACCCTTGTAACACCCCCTCATAACACCAAAATTTGTTACAATGGTCAGAATTTACATCCACTTATCATTTACAGGTTTGAGTTAGAATCCTGCAAGGGACTTTGGATTCTTTCATGTGAATAATCTTTCTAGCTAGCTAATTGAACATTTGTGGTTCTACTCAGGTGCTTGATTGTGCCTGAAATAATTTACAGGGGGACGCCCAAGTTCTTTCTCCACCAGTAAAGCTTGGAAAGTCACCATATGGTCATAAGAATTTTACAGTCTTGATGCAACATAAAACCCTACCAAAAAAATGACAGAGCAGAAAGTGTTAGTGTTTTGATTCCTGTCCTCACACTCATGTCCTCACACTCCTGTCCTCAGTGTGACATTTAAGATTATTTGAATCAATAAGCTATAAACACTACTACATATACTTTTTCTTCTGAACACCCATGGGATAGAAAATCTGTGCATTTGTTCTATTGTGAATATATCCTGAAGCATTAAACAAAATTAATGCTCATATTTTTTTGTTGGGAGAAGACAAATCATTAAAATTCATTTGAATTACCAGTATGATGAAGATTTAATTCAATATTTGGAAGGATTTTAGGTGATCACAACTTAATTGTTAATAATACTGCAGTATCTACAATTTACACACATTTACATTCTATGTTATAGTAGTGACTAGTTATAATTTTATGATATTATATACATGTAGGTAATAAGTAAAGAAGATTCAAGTTGGTGGCAGGCGAGGAAAGTTGATGCCTTACCTAGTGAGCCAGCAGGATTGATCCCCTCACCAGAGTTACAGGAGTGGCGGGCCACAACAACGGCACAGGAGCGAGCCAAACAAGAACATTCTGGTAGGGTTAGGCTGTATTTTTTTTTACCTTACTGACATATGTTCTCCAGTTTTTGCCCGATAATTTGTATTTTCTGCTTATTTCCTTACTGACTTATTTTCAGGAGTTTTCGTATTCTAATAACATGCCAAGTTTAAAGAAATTCTATTGAACTGTTTAAATTTTGCCTATTATTATGTCTATATGAAAACTCCCGAAAACGCCTTTAAATTTTCTATTTATTGTCTAATTAACTTGCTGTAAAATAAATTGATATATTATCTATCTACAGTATAAAGTCTATAATTATCTATCTACAGTATAAAGTCTATAATTATCTATCTACAGTATAAAGTCTATAATTATCTATCTACAGTATAAAGTCTATATTAATTATTCTTTAATGGTTAATAAAACGTTGTTTTCCTTTTATTAGGCAATCAACATTTAAAATATATTGATTATAGGGGATTGTGGCTGTACTTTACTTTGTGGATATAAAATGTTTGTCAACTTTATGTGAGAACAAGGTAGATGTGACATGAAATGATTGTAAGCTATATCTAACTTCCATGGCTGAGTGGTAAAGGTTGCACTTCTGTTGGTTTAAATCCCTCAGGGGACTTGAACCTTTCTAGTTGGGAAACTATCTTAGTAACCTTGAATAAGTAGGATTCTGTTTGCTTGGGACTAGAACAATTTATTGAGGGACAGGACAGCAGAGGTTTATTTACCATTAGCTAAGCTGGAAAGTCAACATACCACCTGAACACCTAACAAAATTTTATAGAAAAGAATATAAAATAATTATGTTTTAAACCAAAGCTGACAATAAGATTTATGATTGAGGTTTTATCCTCTAATTACAGTGCACTGTTCATGGTTTGGGAAGAAGAAGAAAGATAAATATTTAGCAAAACACAACGCCATATTTGACCAACTGGAAATCAACACATACGAGGAAGTGGTGCGACTTCCAGCATTTGTTAGAAAAACTTTAGTCTTACTAGGTAAGTTAAGAAGTTTCAAATTTTAAGTTACGGGAGGTATTGAAAGGACTTACAATCTTTGGACCTCAGTTGATGCGCATTGAGATAGTTGGTTTTTACTCTGGTATTTACTCGTTTTCCTCAAGAGACTTAGAATGATTTTATGTGAGGAAGCTATCCAGCTAGCTTATGATGGAAAGTTGCTGGTTCTACTTGGGTTCCTATTGTTGCCTGAAATTATTCACAGAGGGGCACCTGAGTCACCGACAATTTGACTTGGAAAGTTGGCATAATACTTCTACCGTATTTGGGTGATGTAAAACCAAAGATGTGGAGCAACAACCTTTGGGACTCAAAGATTTTGCTTTCTGCTGAGACGTATTGCTCTTCAGAGGTTGAATTTTTTGTGAAGATGTTGTAAAGAGATGATTGCACTACAGAAGGCAGTCCTTCAGAGTTTTTCTTTAGTATTTAAGGCAATTTCTTCCCTTTATCCTACAGTTGTAAGGTTAAGTGTTATTTTGTTATATTATTTCAGGGGCTCATGTTGTTGTGTTATATTATTTCAGGTGCTCATGGTGTTGTGTTGTATTATTTCAGGTGCTCATGTTGTTGTGTTATATTATTTCAGGTGCTCATTGTGTTGTGTTATATTATTTCAGGTGCTCATGTTGTTGTGTTGTATTATTTCAGGTGCTCATGGTGTTGTGTTGTATAATTTCAGATGCTCATGGTGTTGTGTTATATTATTTCAGGTGCTCATGTTGTTGTGTTGTATTATTTCAGGTGGTCATGGTGTTGTGTTGTATTATTTCAGGTGCTCATGGTGTTGTGTTGTATTATTTCAGGTGATCATGTTGTTGTGTTGTATTATTTCAGGTGCCCATGGGTGTTGTGTTGTATTATTTCAGGTGATCATGGTGTTGTGTTGTATTATTTCAGGTGCTCATGGTGTTGTGTTATATTATTTTCAGGTGCTCATGATGTTGTGTTGTATTATTCCAGGTGATCATGGTGTTGTGTTGTATTATTTCAGGTGCTCATGTTGTTGTGTTGTATTATTTCAGGTGATCATGATGTTGTGTTGTATTATTTCAGATGCTCATGGTGTTGTGTTGTATTATTTCAGGTGCTCATGGTGTTGTGTTGTATTATTTCAGGTGCTCATGGTGTTGTGTTGTATTATTTCAGGTGCTCATGGTGTTGTGTTGTATTATTTCAGGTGCTCATGTTGTTGTGTTGTATTATTTCAGGTGCTCATGGTGTTGTGTTATATTATTTCAGGTGCTCATGGTGTTGTGTTATTTCAGGTGCTCATGGTGTTGTGTTGTATTATTTCAGGTGCTCATGGTGTTGGTAGAAGACACATTAAAAACACATTAATCACGACACATCCTGACAGATATGCATACCCCATTCCACGTATGTACCTTTCTTACACATCATTAATGTGAAAACAGTTTTCCTTAATTACTTGGTAAATCTGAAATTGTGACTTTAATTTGTACTTAAAAAGTACAGTTTTAAGCCTTGTTCTTCCCTGACAGTTCAATTTACAGTAGAGGTCTAATTTGCTAATTGATTTTGACATAGTGACCTAATTCACGTTGTCACCCATTGGTTAGGTTTAAATCTGTCTCTTTCACTGGGAAACTATCCAGGCAGTGGGTCTGTCTAGGTATCCTCTTGCACCTAAAAGAGTAGAAGTTCAGATGTTCTAATTATTAATAAAATACAAAGTCACTTGACCTCAAGTTGTACTATACCAAAGCAAAGAAGAAAACATTTGTAGATTAATTTCATCAACACATTGGAATCACATTCATTTTGTATTTACTTCTTTAAATATCTTTTTAAAATTTCTCTTATTACTACTTGATTATATGCTGTACATTATGATTGAACACTTTTATCATAAGTTATATATAAATGATAATACTGTTGTAATAATTTATTAGCATATATATGATATTTTTAGATACGACCCGTCCACCAAAGCCTACTGAGGAAGATGGAAAGAATTATTATTTTGTGACGCATGAAAAGATGATGGAAGACATATCATCGAATAAATATTTAGAGTATGGCACTCACGAGGACGCCATGTACGGCACAAAACTAGAAACTATAAAACAGATTCATACTCTCAGTCTAATGGCAATATTAGATGTTGAGCCACAGGTACACCCAATTAATGTCTTGTTACTGTAAAATCATTGGTATTCATTGGGAACTAATTTTCATGGTTTTCATGAATAGGTAGATCCACAAATTTAAGACCCAACGAAATTTTCTGTTTGTCTGCTGTAAGATTATTTTGCATCGCATTTTTTACGTTTTACCTTTCGGAAAAGTAAACAATCCACAACTTTAAGAACCCATAAAAATGTTCTTTGTGACAAAACCACGAAATTTCATACCCACAAAATTAAGCTCATTAACATTATGTAGCTTAAGGAGTGTACGGATTAATGTGTCCTATTTGGCTGAGCATTTGCTATGGTATTTGACCTGTAATGTTTATGTTCTTGTAGTGAGAACAATTAGTTTAATAGTTCTTTAAGGTTTTTTAAAAAAAAATACAATTCAACTTTAAATGAGTAATGAATATCTGAGCTTTAAACAGGTATACATAGTTGCTTTTGAAGATTAAAAGTTCTACTTTTACTTATATGTCTAAAATAGAGGTCAGATACATTACAATACCTATGTGTGCACATTACAATAGCTTTAACTTCAATGGAAGCATAAGTTCAATGAAAACACAAATATTTTTTATAAAATCAATTGTTTTTAAGTTGTTTTCTAAATAGTCTACTTTAACTGTTATTATATATTTGGTATAAATAAATGTGTTTTCTTTCAGGCTCTAAAAATCTTACGGACACGAGAGTTTTGTCCGTTTGTAGTGTTTATTGCAGCACCGACTATACGACCCACACAGGAGGTAATGTTACCAGGATAGCTGCGCTGATCATATTGACCCCCGCCCCTCTATGTCTCCCCATCTTACAACCCTCATGAATACTGTACTGTGATGTACTGTTGATGTACTGTCTATGGCTGATGTAGTGATATGGCTGTATAGAAAATTTATTTTTATTTTATTAACTAACTAGTTTTATATTTTTTCTTTTCAGCATTGTACATTAATAATTAATTTGTCATAAAATTCTCAAGATACATTGAAGACCAGAAATTCACATTTACACCTTCAATTTAAAAAGATTAACAACTTGTTTTATTGGCAGGAGGATAATGTCTGTGAAAAAATTCTTGTTTTTACATGATTGTGAATTTTGGCCATACTGTCTACTGTGTTTGTGTATCCACCACAGATACATGTGGAGAAGATGTCAGGTCACTGTCATCAGATCAATTGAATACTGGTTCACAATCCAGATTCCTGTCACCTATCAAAAATTTGTGCTGAATTCAAAATAGCACCTGTCCCCTATCAAAAATTTGTGCTGAATTCAAAACAGCACCTGTCCCCTATCAAAAATTTGTGCTGAATTCGAAACAGCGCCTGTCCGCTATAAAAAAAATTGTGCTGAATTCAAAACAGTGCCTGTCCCCTATCAAAAACTTGTGCTGAATTCAAAACAGCGCCTGTTGCATTCAAAAATTTGTGCTGAATTCAAAACAATCTCAAGAGTTTAAGCAAAAAATCATGACAGTTTTGTTAATGACACTATATTGGTGAAAAACCAAGCATGCAGCATAATCTCAATTTTGTCGTTTTGGGCGTACTTTAGGGATTCAGTTTTTCTTTATTTTTTGATAGAAAATAGGAGATTTTACCAAGAAATAAAAAAGGAAAAACATTTGGATGGCAATTTATAGTATTAAAATCAAATTATACTAACAGCATGTTTTTATTATTATGTATTATTACATGTTTATATAGGAGGCTTGGATGCTCAAATTTACAACTTGCTGACAATCATTTCTTTTATAACATAATAAGGAAGTGGCAGCATGGCTGAGGGGTTAAAGGGTAATTTAATGATCACTAGTAGCAAGTCATTGTTTATTTGAGGAAGAAATTTTATACTCATGGCTCAGTACTTGTTTTTTTCCAGAAATGGATTCTATTGTGTCTATAAGCTTATAGCTTCCCACACAGTTGAACTAAAACTAACAATATGTCTATTTGAAGTAAGTTTGTTGCAAAAGAGATATTTAAACCTCCAAACCTCTATAGTACAGTCAAACTTACAAGAAATAGTCAAATGAAGGAATTGAAAATAAAGGTGGTTGCTTAATGCAGGTTATAATACAATGCATACAGTCAAAGAAAAGCAGCATTTTAAAAAAAAACAAAAAAAATGAGAGTACAAGTTAATCAGCCTCTTCATATTTATTAAATGCATAATTTATTAAGTGCATAATTTATTAAGTGTGTATTTTATTAAGTGCTGCATTATTTATTAAGTGCATAATTTATTAAGTCCGTAATTTATTAAGTCCATCATTTATAAATGACATCCTAAGTTTGATTGTATTTAAATTGACAATGACAATATATTTGTAGATTAATTGCATGAATTTATTTTCGTTTCCAGGTAACGTCTTGTATGCTGATGACATTTTATTTTTTATGTTTTTATTTTTATTTATGGTCCAGTCTAATATGATATAAATATATATAACTTTTATTTATGTGTTACAAGTTACTAATGCTCTCCTCAGGTTTGACAATTATTCATGTCCGTTCCTTTATGTTTTGATCGTACACTCCTCATGTTCTTGTGGAGAAGTTGGCTGGTACTTGTGGAGGGTTAGTTTAAGTACTGTTGAAGAATGAAAGCATAAAATTGGATATTTGCACTGAAGTCAGAATTTCATTTATTAGTCTTCTGTCCATTTCTGCAGAAAGATCATATATTTCAGACTGATTGATCAAATTGTACTCTTGACAAAAATGCATATTTTCTTGATGAAAAAAAAAACATTTTGCAAAAGACAATTCATGCCTATGACTATTTCCTTTCTATGTTTGCGTGATCAGTTTCCATATTTGGCTTGGACATTGGTTGATGTTGGCCAATCAAATTTATAAACTATTAGACTGGACCTGTGTAACTAACAACCCTTATTCTTTTTTATTTATTTTGCAGAGATATGAATCGCTTTTTTATCTTTTTATTTTCCTAGCCTACTATATATTAAGATAACTGCATGTTTTTGTAAGTGTAGCGTATTTTTTTGTGTGTCATTTACAGGCCCTAAAAGTGTTACGTTCAGCAGAGTATGCTCCCTTTGTTGTATTTATAGCCGCACCTAGTGCCCTGGATCTACAGTTAGCTAAAACTGCCGGCATTGATGTAAGTTATCTACTGCAAAATCATTATTATTCGTCGGGAACTAATTTTCGTAGTTCATATGGATAGGTCAATCCATGAATTTAAGAGCCAGTGAAATATTGTTTCATCTGCTGTAAGATTATTTTGCATCACATTATTTACATTTTACCTTTTGGAAAAATAAACAGTCCACAAATTTAAGTACCCATGAAAATGTTCTTTGTGACAAAACCAGGAAATTTCATCAACTTCTTTGAGCTGGTTTAATTTATTCTATAAACTTCTAGAAGAGAAAATGATAAATGCCTTTGCCACAAGTATATAGAGACAGACCATACAGCAGTCTGACAAGACTCTATGCTGTTTAGCTGTTAATTATCAGTTTTCATATTCATTTACATATTGTGAAGCATCCAAAAGGTCAAGTAGACTGGCCTAAACTTTTTTCAAGAAAGTGAAAAAATTATTATCTGCAATTTCTAATTATCCTCTATACATATTTATTATACAAAATCTTGTTCCAAAACACACCTGGCAATTCATAGCAAATCAAATTTTCCTCTGGGTGCATGCACCTTAGAAGCAGGGCTACACATAAATTTATACCAAGCTACATGTGTGCCTATGACATGACTGTATATCCTATTATTTATATTGGACAGTGCAAAAAGTTAGAGCTGGTTAAGTCTATTTAAGAAATTCAGAAGGTTAGTGGTTAAATGAATTGGCAGATTACTTCTTGCTCTGACGAACCATGGGATAAAGAAAAGTTTAACTGATGTTAGCTTATTTTCCATTTTGAAAGTGAACAATATTTAATGATGATTAATGAAGTTATACCAGAAATAACATAATTAGGTTTTGGAAGGTTTGATTGTTTTACTTAGTTTCCCACAAGTGCCTGATACTAATACAAAGGGACACCAGTGGACCATACTAAATCAGAAATGCTAAAAAGTACCAATGTGTAAATGACATTTGAAAACTATGGGAGGGAGTTTTATGATTGAAATGATTTGTAAAAATTGATAGTAGCATGCTCAATATCTATAGAATTAATGATAATATGCAAATTTATGAAAACTGAATGAGAAGTCTAAGAATTCACCTTGCACTGTGAAATTGTATGATGAAAAATTCTGAGAAAGTTATTATCATAATAAAGACTATGTTTTTTTGTTGATACCCCTTCTGATTAATACAGATTAAAGTGCATGAACATGTTAACAGTTATTTTCTGTATTCTTGTCAAATGTTAACAGAATATTAAAATTTAAGCATTTTAAAATGTATAATTGATAATTCTCAGCCTAGAAATCATGGATTATGATAACTGAGCTTGTTATTTAGAAAAAAGGTATCAATTTTGAGTACATTGTTGTAGAATAATGCATTGTTCAGGTTCAAATTCACAGGAATATAATCACAAAGGACGATAGACTTGAGTGATTAACTACAAAGCATTTGAATGATAGCCATGCATTGTATCATAGTTTGGGGACCTTTTTGTTGAAAATGTGTCAGAGTTAAATCGTATACATATACATGCACGGTGCGTTAACTGGAGTGCAGGTATTAGTTACCCGCACTGCAGAGCATGCCCATTGATTGGTTCATTTTGTCTGGGGTTTTCATATTGTGACGACGGGGAAAGGAAAAGCGATAGAAATATCATATTCAGATGCTCGTTCATTAGTTCCTTTTTCCTGGGGTTTCATATTGTAACATCAGGGAAGGTGCTTTTATTTATGACTATGATACAAAAGAGAAAGAACATCAAAACACTCGGCAATCTGATTAATACTCGGGGGCTATGCCCCCTCGTACAAATCAGATAGCCTTGTATTTCGATGCTCTTTCTATTACTTATTTTACTACAATGCAAGAAAAATTGATATCTTTACCATTTGAACATGCTAATAAAAAAAATGTTGAACTACATTGAGCATAGAAATAATTTTTTCCTGACGTTATTTGGTTTATTGACGTCATATGACATGTAAGCATTCCTTTTAAGTGCTGTGCATATATCATTTAAAAATACACTTGATTGCCGTATCTGTTTTATGAGGGAATAATGTGAAACCTGTTAAAAATGTTCATTAACCATATTCCCCATAATGGGACATATTAATCAATTTGAAGTCTCAAATAAATATAGTTTAATGCTTGTGACCTTGAATGTGAAAACAATTTCTTAATATCTGATGTATTATTTGATTAATAGAGGAAGAAAAACATGGCTTTTGTTCTAGGGATGGTAATTTCTGTTTAATTTTCATAAGTAAAATTGATATTTTAATTAAAAAATTTTATGTCAGCTACTATAAAAATTCTTTATTATTTTTCATTGTGTAGTAAATAATAAGATATTTCTTTTTCAGGATGGTAGTTTAGAGCGACTTGCCAAAGAAAGTGAACTTTTAGAAAAAGCCTACGGACATTACTTTGATTTTAAGATAGTTAACAATGATATCTCGGAAACAATTTTACAGTTAGAAGATGCCATTGACAATGTTTGTTCAACACCACAATGGGTGCCTGTTAGCTGGGTGTACTGAGTTTACCGTATAAGTGTAAACTATCATATTTATTCTAATCAGTGCCCCTGTTATATAAATTTAACTGCCGTTTTGATTGCATTGAAAAGTAGTATTGTACTGAATGATTCAGTGTAATTTACATTTAGAAAAAATTGATGAAATATTTACAGCGATTTAGTTTAGAAATTTGGCATTATCATTTATGTTTTTGTTTTTTAAACTTCACAGTTTTGAATATATTTACTGTTATTTCAGTGCTATTTCTTCCTATTGATTATTCAAGATTTAAAAATCGGAGATGAAATTGTTTTCAACCTAAATGAGAAAATTAAGCAAAAAGATGGGTGCTTATTAGAATATATGTGTAAAATCAGCTTGTTTTTAGGAATTTATTAAATTTGTTAAAGGAAATGGTGATGGTAGCTGTTTTCTGTGAAAATTGTCTTCCAATGTGTTGTTTTAAGCTTATTAGAAGAATCAAAAGAAGAAAAAAAAAGAAACAGAGCTTTTGTTGGACAAAGGGAAAGAACTCATATAATGGGAATTTTTAAAGTCATCAAAGGGAGAGTAATGTTGTATAAAGAATCAGTATGGTCGCAAGAGTTACTGTTATTGTTTTTGCTGATGGAAATTTATTCTTCCTTTAATAAGGCTGCAAGAAAGATTTGTTTGTAAATCATGGAAAAATATTGCAAACGGAAACATGACTGTTTGTATGATTTACTTCAAATTGTAAAATATTTGGCAAACATTGAAATAAATAATGTTTTTTATCTTAATAGTTAATAACTAAATGTAATAATATGCAGTTAATTGAAATGTTTTTTTTTTCTATGAGAGTTTTGTCTTGAATGATCATGATTAATTTGTAAACAGGAAGTTGTTTTAAGCAGCTGATAACATTCTGTGATTATTGTATAGATTTAAACGTAATTTCTGTAAATCATTATGTTACATTGTTTACGTCTTACCTTTTTTGTCCGCATTTATGATGATGATCCATTATCTTAGACTGTCCATCATGGTTTTGACTGTCCATCACATGTTTCAATGGATCATTATTTGACTGACATCAAGGTTAATGGGTCATTGTTACCAAATATTCCATTCATTTGCAAGATTTACTATTCAAAAAAAGGATTCTTAAGAGCAAAACAATATTCTGTCAGATCATTGTACTATTTGTTACAGGATTATGAAAGATTTGTTGCCAAAGATTGTGTCATACTTGTACTTGAGTTTATATATTTCACAGAATATTTGTTTGGACATGGAATCAGCAGATTTGCCCAGTTCTGATTCAGTGCTATAAGCTAAATTCTCGGCTTCTTTTAACCCCGGCATCTTTACTTGCCATCCTCTGGTCATAAATTAGGACATAGTGTTACCCTAGAGTCATTTTTTAGGACATCCAGAATGTAATTTAGTAATTAATGTAATTACATATAATGAGCTGTGTTAATTTAGAAAAAAAATGAAACAAGTTTTCAAATTTCACCATTTTCATGGTAAAATGTTGAATTCTGCTTAAGCATTTGCTATCGGGCATGGTACCATCCATGTACAGGCTCAATCAAACTGAATGTGCAACATTTTCAATTTTGTCAATTTGGGTGTTCTTTAGGGATTCCATTTTTCTACTTATTAGTATGTGGTATAATCATTATGAAAATGGTTTAACATTGACAGAGTACCAGTCTGTACATAAAACAGAGATAGAATGGTTCACTACTTTGTTTTTTATTTCTTTCTTTTCTTTTCTTTATTAAAGTTTGGGAAACATGTTAATTTGTTACACAACATTATTGTTAATTGCACCATTATAATTGAACAAGAGAGTTGTGATTTTGTTAGTAATTTTATGTTGATTCCAAAACACAAGTTATCTTTTCTTGTATTAACAATTTGTTAAATCATGGTTTGATTATATTAGTGTTCATCACATGAAAAGGGGTTTATGGAAACTGCTTACAGCAATCTTTTGGAATTCATGTCTTCTATTTCTATATTTTTGCCACAGTTAGGTTCCAGTATTTTTTACATGAGATCAAAAATTGAATATGATAGTATGACCAGATATTTAATTCATTATTCATGGCAAAGTTACAGAGCTTTTTAAACCAATGCTTAAGTCTGTTTGTTTTTTTTAATGTTTTTTCTTTAGAAATTAGATTAATTTATCAGTAATGGTGATAAGTTGGTTATTTAATTTAAGTTAGTCATTTCTGTCCAATGAATATTTCAGTAAAATCTACATGAGAAATATTTCAGTCATTACTTAGGTATTAATATTTCAGCGTGTGTTAAGACATGTAATTATATTCATGGCTATAAATTGTTTAAAGTTTAACTACAGCCGTGTTAAGAATATGTCAATTATAATTTGAACATATGGGTAACTTATCATTACAGCCCACGTCCTTTTTGAAAATAATTATTCATCCAACCAATCGGTCAACTTTTTTCATGATTTTTGACAATTTTCCATTAAAAAATCAGAGGTGCGGTAGTATTTTTCCTTTAAAAAAACTTCTACCCGTCTTATAAGAGGGTCTTACCAGAAAGTGCTGTTTTTGAGTCAAAATAAGGACCTAGTCTTATAATAGGTCCGACATATAGGTGAGTGAACACAGTATATGAAACAGACTGTCATGTTTATCAGCCTTATAAAGGTTAGGGTATGTGTGTGTTGTGTGTGCTGTGTTTTGGAATCCAGTGTACGATTTGTGTTCACAGATTATGCTTTTCGGAACAATATATATTATAAAAATATTTATATATAGATATTTCAGATATTTTGCTTCCAAAAATAAAACTTGCTTTTATTTTTATTTTATGTATACTGAGTTTTGACTATTTTATAATGTATATTCAAAGATTTTGGGACATATTCTTGAAAATTTTAAGTTTATTATGTATATTTATGAAGAAAAGACGGAGGTTGTGCAAATAATTGTTCATACGTTTTATTTTTAAAAAGTGGAAATTGGGGATTATGCTTTGTTAAAATCTGACAGGATAAAAAATAATCTTGAATGATGTCCTGCTATTTTGTTGGCTGATCTCTTATAATGAAGTTGTTTTTATTAGATAGAATATTATTTTGTTTTATTCTGGATGTGTATATTGTTACATTACAAAAAAACTATGATAATATATCACCAGTATATCTTTTTTGTTTTCTTTTTTTTTGTATTTTTAAGAAATAGCCTAAGAAAAAGATATATGCTTTATAAAGTTATATATTATACATGTTACAATAGGGGGAGAAAGAATGAATAGATGCCTTTACAATTTACATCATTTGAGGCGGCTATCTGTCTAGTTGAAGGAAGCTTGTTCGTACCTGAAATATTGTACAGAGGGGCACTCTAGCAATTGTCATATAATTTTTACAATGTATGCATAACTTAATAAGATGTAAAGGTAAAATTTATATAATTTATAATAAAAACTTAGAACAAATAAAAGTGTAAAGAAAATTAAGTAAAAAGTTATTACCATCACTGAACCATTTGCTTTTAAAATTTCAGTAAATTCATAGTTGGTTTTAATACTTCAGTAAACTCATATATTACTTTGACCTCACTGCAGTATAATATATTTTATGCTTTTTGATAAAACACATAAAATATCCAATCATAAAATTAATATTTACAAGTTTATTTTTGTATTTACCAGCTTTGTGTTGAGATAAGCAATATTAATTTATACCAAAGTATTAGATTTATTTAAGTACAAGAGTGAATTTAGGTTAAGTTAGAATGTTTTCATTACTAACTGTAGAAATGTTGATGCATTTATTATGAAAGTGGCATAACTCCAGATAAGTTAAAATATATCTTAAAAAAATAGAGAAAAAAAAAACTGAAGAAAAAATTTATTCACAGCTTTATAAACATACACAATGTTTGTGAAACTTTAATTATATTTTTACCACCAACATTTTATCCCGTTTATTGACATATTTAATTCTGCATACTTGAACAAATTTATGTTAAATCTGTGCTTGGCAAGTGTCTTAGGCTCGTTTAAATCAATTTATTTGTACACTTAACAATAATTTCACCTCTGAACATTTTTTTAAAAGTTTTTTCATAAAAAGTTTACATAAATCTGGAGTTGAGCTGCTTAAGGTGATCTTTTGATCTCTTGTATACAAGACACAAATTAAATAATCCCATTTTATATATTAATTGAAAATAAATTGATTGACCTGTGTTAATTGATATTAATTATTTTTTCTAATTGAATGTATAATTGTTTGAAAATCTTATATAATGTTTTTTATTACAACACTTTGTTAAGTTTATTGTTTCTCACAAGGATATATTTGATAAATTTGTTGAATTTAAAAAATTGAAATGAAAACTTGTTACAGTACAAATGCAGTTGAAGTGATATTTTTTTCATGGATGCTTGGCGATAGGTGGCATTATGGCATTATATAACATTTATAGTTCAAATCTCACAGAATATTTCAACAGTTTAATATCACACTAAAGTTATTTCACTTCACATAAACATATTTTAATGCCAAGATAACTTCTTTAAGAAACTCTGTACTTACGTGATGTACATCATTGTTTGCATCTATTTTTGTTTAACTGTAAGCAGAAGTTTGTTTGTTTTTTTTTAAAAGAAAGATTTTTTTTTTCAAAGTGCTGTGTTAGGCTAGAAATAATGTTTGGACATTGTTGTTACTTTGATTTTTAGCTCGACTATTCGAAGAATATGAGAGCTATTGTAGTCGCCCCGGCGTCGGCGTCCGCGTCGGCGTCTGCGTTGGTTAAAGTTTTTTGTAAAGTCAAATATCTCAATTATTACTTGAGATATTCAATTGAAACTTACAATACTTATTTATAGTAACAAGGTACATCAGATTCACAAGTTGGATAACTCTGCCTACAATATTGACATAATTATGCCCCTTTTTTACTTAGAAATTTTGGTTAAAGGTTTTTATAAAGACAAATATCTCGATTATGCTTGAGATATTCAATTGAAACTTACAATACTTATTTATAGTAACAAGGTTCATCAGATTGACAAGTTGGATAACTCTGCCTACAAAATTGAAAGAATTATGCCCCTTTGGAACTTAGAAATTTTGGTTAAAGTTTTTTTGTAAAGTCAAATATCTCAATTATTGCTTGAGATATTCAATTGAAATTTAAAATACTTTTTTTATAGTAACAATGTACATCAGTTTGCAAAATTGTCCATAACTCTGCTGCAATTTTGTTAGAATTATTTGCCCCTTTGAAACTTAGAAATTTTTGGTTAAAGGTTACAGGTCTTCAAAAAATATTTACTTCAAACTTTACACATGCACTTAGGGTCATAATTGGAGGGTCATAATTGTATGTCACTAACCAAGTTCCATAACTCTATCTTGCATTAAGGCTGGTTCATATCCCCTTTTCTACTTAGTCCTTTTCTACTTAGTCTCTTGGTTAATGTTCACATGCAAGTTTTACATATCTCAATAACTATTAAAGATATTTATTTATAATTTCACATATGCATTTAGGGTCATAATTGTAGGTCACTGACAAAGATCCATTATTCTATCTTTGCATTTAGGCTATTTTTTCTTCCCTTTTTCAACTTAGAAAAATTCATGGTAAAGTTTTGCTTGTAAAAGCTGTTATCTCAATAACTACTGAAGGGTTTGTGCCTTTTTTTGGGGACAATTTTATGCACTTCAATAATAATAAAAGCAGTGATTTACTTTTATAAAAAATCTTAATAAAACAAGCCTTTGTACCTTTTCTGTCAAATTTATGTATTCATAAGGTAATTAGTATTATTTTACTCAATAAAACACCCTTTTTGACATTACCTTCCGAATAGTCAAGCCAATACTGTATAATTAGACTCTCTCTAAGGCCAGTATTACATGAATTTATAAAAAAAAAATAGCCCTTTGTGAACTTAAAAAATTTAACATTATCAAGGCTCTTTTACTATCAAGCACTTAGAATAGTCGAGCGTGCTGTCCTACTGACAGCTCTTGTTTTGTTTACAAATTTATTGCTTCATGTGGATTTAAAGTAGATTATAGAAAGTAGGTTACTAACAAAATCAAATATGTATATATCTACTAAATATTAAGTCTGATTTTTTATCTTTGGGTTCATAAACTGATCTTTGGCTTCATTTGAATAATTGTTGATCATTAAGCATCCATCTCACTGTGTACGAGTATAAAATGTTTAAATACTAAGTTACTAGTGCTCCTGAGCCAAAGAAAAACATATTTGTATAAGCATCTCTATATGATTTTATAGATTTAGGTAGATTTAAAGTGGCACGCCTCCAGATGAGGCAAACTATTTCAAGAAAATCAAACTTTAGGAAAATGTACCGAGATTTTATGTACGAATAATGACCAGTTTTGCAGTGTTTTTTTTCACCATATTTATACTTCGTAACTTACACAGTAACGGCTATTTTTACATATTTTTGACCTCTTACTAGGTTGTATGTGTAAATTTTTTTTTGTTCACTTCTCAATATTTTACTTATTAATACATTTTCAAAATATTCATGAAAATAAGTAAGAATATGGAGGCGTGCTGCTTTAAATTCTAATGATTCTGAACAAAAGAATGAATGCATACTGACAAATGGCGAACTTAAATACTGCCAAGTTATTTGCGTGTTTGGACTTATTTAATTTTGGTCTTCATATATTACACAAGTAGATAACAATTTTTTTATCTCACTAATTTCAATTCCGACAATCAAAGATTGTTGAAAAAAGAAATATTGCTAAGAGAGTAGATTTGATTCAAGTGTGTTGCATTTTTTTTTTTTGGCAAAACTTGAATTATTATTTCACTTTGATAGCTAAATGTATTTACAAAATTGGAGACCCTAAATATATTGATGTAGATTGTTATATCTTGGAATATAGAATTTTATATGTATAATTGTGTATAACTAACATACATTTGTTTGTTTAACTGTGTGATAGTGAAGTTTTTCTATGGTATATCCTGTTTTTATAACAGTATTTGCTGGTTTATCCTGTTTTATAACAGTATATGTAAGTATATCCTGTTTTATAACAGTATATGTAAGTATATCCTGTTTTTATAACAGTATATATATAGGTATATCCTGTTTTTATAACAGTATATGTAGGTATATCCTGTTTTTATAACAGTATATGTAAGTATATCCTGTTTTTTTTAACAGTATATATAGGTATATCCTGTTTTTATAGCAGTATATATAGGGAAAGTAAGCCAAATTATGTTAGTAAAATAAAAATACATATTTTGCCTTGATGAACAAAAAAATACTTGTTCCTTTCCATGAAAATGTTAGTTTTGCAATAAGGGAGAAAAATGTGGCATTATTTTAAAATTCATTTCATTTATAAAAAATCAATAACCATGTAGTTTTATGTAATTATTTTATAGTTAGCATTGACCTTAGATTTATTTTGAAACATGATATTTCCCCTTGGGAAAGAAATATGAATCTACTGCCTAAAACAGAGTAATCTTGTTTGTAATCATACATTTCTATAGAAACCAATAGATTTGGATCAATTTTTATATCATTGTATAATAACTTGTTTTTTTTGGTTTTTATATGCATTGAAGAATTGTTTACATAAACCCCTAACCTGCTGGTACCGGAAGTGGTTGTCCATGACAACCAATTTAGAACGAGGCAAGCTTGCACTTCCATGTAGTCTGACCAGGCTCTATACTGTGTGGGGCTTACTTTCTTAAAAATTTCATGTCGATTTTCCAAACAATGATAATTGATACTTCTAAAATGGAAGCTGGACAAGGCCATTTAAGATATTCAGCAATTTAAGTGTTAAACAAATTTTAACTAATTTTAACAAATGTAACAGGAGAACAAGACATTATGATTAATTGTTGCTCTTGTTACATAGAGACATAGGGACTTATTAAGTCTGTTTATGCAAATGTTAGCATATATTTGGTATGAGTGGTTTTTACAGACATTTGTTTTGTTACTTTATTTGTACACTGTAGCCTCTAGCAAATTACTCTGCTACATGTATACAGGACCAAGATTATATTGATTTCTCTCGTATTAAATCAATAAAATATGTAATGAAATATGGAATATATCGTTTGTTTTTTATTTCTATATATTTCCAATTTTTTGATGAAGGAGATGAATCATTGTGCATTTGCTTCAATTAAGGCCATACTTCTCACATGTTTCTTTTAATACTAGAATAAATTCATCTTTGTATGGAATCGGAAACGCGAAAGTTTTTGAAAATTATAATTATTCGTAGGTTAAGGTCTTTTGTTTACTTCGGAATTTAAACTTCATGCTAAAATCAAATCCTTATGGTGTCAGTAACTGTGCAGTCAAAACTAGTGATACGTTGACAGCTGCAGATAAAGGGTGTTAATCAAAGTCCCCTTTATGTTTGTCAGGACTTATCTGTGCTTTACCAGTGTAATAGAAAGTTCCGCTCCACTTTTACAACATATAAAGGCTTCAAAGAACGAGGAGAAAAAAATGGTATAAAAATAGCCTGCTTCCCCTCGTAGGACGTGGTTCTCGATCCAAGTTTGGTTTATATTCTCGTATTGTCATTTAACTAGTTCTGCACCCATTCTGTTTCATTACAGAACGTCATGATGATGACTTGTCGCATGATGACAATTTTCTAAATATAGTCGGAGAGGCGTCCGTAGCCGCTGGCCGTACAAGCGTCTTCATACTTTTTTCAAGTTTCCAGCTAACTTCTACTAATATGCCCGTTTGTGCACTAGCACTTGAGTTCTTCAATTACCGCTAATGTGTTGGTGCAAAACTAGGAGTAACTTTTGGGTTAATAAGCACTTGTATAGTTGAATAAGAACAAGAGGTGAATGTATATAACTTCGGACTCCTTATCAGGAAGGCAGCACCTTACTTCCTAAATGCACGCTTATTACTTTACTGGCTACAACACATGTGTATGTACGTTAAAATGATTTAGATCTACAGCGTAAACAATAATACAGCTACCGTAGACACACTTCTTTGCTTATTGTCTTGTTCCAGCTTTTTAATATCCTAGTTGACAGCATTAGGACCGTCAAACCCGTAAATATTTTATGAACTATTATTACACCTAAAACAAAATACATTCTTGTAGAGTCTTTGTGTTATAAACGTTATTTCAACTTTGACTGTTTTGTCTCGTTTGAAAAACGAATATTGAATAGATTAATTAAGCCAATATTATTGCTTAGACTAATTGTTTATTTGTAGTTCAACACTGACTGAACTTTGTTTGGATTGATATTTTGAGAAGAGCTAGTTTATAGTACACTTCTACCTCTTTTCTTCTGTTCTGGCAATTTCATACAAAGATAAAACACTGGCACCGAAAAAGCCAATTTCTACTGCAAACTTCATATGCAAGCCCTTTGACCCGATTTACATTCTAGTGCTTTTATTTCTCAAATTCCTTTGCACAACAATGCGTTTTATTTTAAACTATGAAAGACAGCATATTAAAAGATGCGCGATGTGTTAAATATTTAATCTTCAGATATGAAAAACTGTCAGATGCTGTGAAGTATACATGTACATAATAAACGAAAAAATTATAAAATTTAAAATAAGAACGTTATAGATAGAAACAGTCTCTCCTATTTTAAATCATAGTCCGAGACATTGAACACTTTTGCTCCCTTGATTGGTCGAACATCGGAGAATAAAAACACTGCAATGATATACCGACTGCAATGATATACCGACTGCATTGCAAAGATATACCAATCAAATGAAATGTTAGTACACAACCTGAATTGTTTAGCGTTCTGTGCAAATCGTGCACATGCAGATTTTCAACTGCTCATAAAAATACTTTTTATTAATTGGTTTATCTTGCTTTCCTGTTTTTTCTAGCTGTTGTTGATGTTTTCGTTGATTAAGCAACATTGGCAACATTTGATTTCCTGAAATTACAACATATCTGTTCACATTATTTTTGTAGTTAAAATATCCCTTTATAGAAACACCATAATCTCTCGATGCTCCAGAGATTGATGTATTCGACATGCTGTTGAATCATTGTGCCCCTGTGTCAGCTACTTTTCTTCACTGATTCATATTTATTACACTGACTTTTGATATCTTTATCACACTCTAAATATAATTATAGAATAATCGTAAATCCGTTTTTTCCCAAAGTTTAGCCCTTTGGTTAAATTTTGTTATTTTGGATAAAGGTATAATTGTGAAAACGTTTTTTTAAAAGAAAATTCTTTTTTTTACTTGTAGAAAATACAGTGAAAAGACCAAAACACTGTACTTTTTTTTTGCGAGTTTTATACAATTCAAGTACCCTGTATTGTGATTTAAGCACGTGTTGGTTCGTTATTTCAAAACACGCGTTGCTTTTGCCCAAATGCACCCTTTCTTTTTAGCTTACGTAGTTTGGGGTTGGTAAAAATATCACTCCCCGTCACGGCAAGTAACCCCCATTGAAATTTTCCAGACCACCCGTTTAGCCCACCCCCAAACATCACTGGACAAAACTGTCAAGCAGTTTACCAGTACAGTTAAAATTTACTTTTGCAAGAAAAATTTATAACCCTTTTGTAACCCTTCCAGAGCAGAAAGGTTTTCCCGTGCGAATGACCCCATTTCAAAATAAAGCCCCCAATGAAAGTGGCCTGTACTATCCGGGAATCGAACCTGGATCGCCCGATTAATTCCTGATTCTTTATGTACTGTTTTTAAGATTTTTTTCTTAATAAATACTTAGTACCTCGTCGATTAACCATCTTGAGTAGATGTTTTACCAAAATTATAAGTTAAAATGAAACAGACGAATATTCATATCAAATAGAAAGTAAGGTAAAATGTCCTCGAATGAATTTGTTTGACAGTAAATTAGTTTAAAGTAAAACGTTGTCGTGTTTGTGTAGGTGTAATGAGGTTTTGTTAAGATAAAACTGTTCCTATTACGGTAAATTTTATTGACGTTTAAATGGAATTTGAAAATGTCGTAATGACACCGAGCAAATAGCTATTTGGAGACCGTTTTCATTGTTGTTCCTATCAAATTATGTCGGGAGAACTGAAATAATTTTTTTCATATTGTAAAGTTTGAAACATTTTTCCTATCAAGTTATGTTGGGAAAACTGAAATATTTTCTTTTTTTCTTTTTTTGTTTATTGTAAAGTTTGAAACATAATTTTAATAAAAAAAATAAAAAAATAAAAATAATATCTTGTCCAAAAAATGCATGTATTTAATAATTATATACTTATAAATGAAATATTGATGAAATAAAATGCTTATTTTCATTTTCCTTATTTTCACCATAAAAATTATTTTTCGCTGCAGTGAAAGATATTTTCCGTATTTTCACTGGTGTCTTGCCTGACTATTTTCATCTCAGTTCAGCCAGTACACAAAATGTAAGGGAAAATCTATCAAATTGTGATGTGAAAAGGAGATAAAAATGCATATACATGTAATAAAAAGAAATTTCAACCTTTTACTACAAATGCAGGATTTATATTCATCTTTGTGGTATGAAAATCGTCTACCGCCGCTCGTGAAATATTTATTTTCATACCACTCAATGAAAATAAATATTGTATTTATAGAAAAAAAACTATTCTCTATATATTTGAGTCCTTTAGGAAGACAGACATAATTATACAATGTATTACGGACAATCAAATGCAACACAACCTAAATTGGAATAACAATTATCTTGAAATCCTAAAAAGAGAAGAAAAAAACATTTATTTCCAGAATAGAAGGACCTGCTAGCAATAAAACATGACACAATTGTATGGATAAGTTGTTCATGGCAGAGATATATTTAGTGAAACTCGATCTGTCTCTGTAGAATTAAAGAAGACGATACATTTATAGGAACCATAACAGTGAATATGTTTAAAAGAATAAATATTAATGTCAGCTAAAAGAGTTGTTAAGTAACATAGAACAACGTGTCATAAACGCACCCACAATAATTAATTTAAATTCTGAAATATGAACACACCTGGGGAACCCTAAAAAACCGGCTTATTGTAGTGATGCCAATTTAATTATCTTTAAATCACGAACATGTTAGGATTAAAACACAACTGAACAGGTCTTAAGTTAAGAAAATGCCTTTAGAGCACAAAATATAGTTAAAAAGACATGGATTACAGCCTTGGGATGTTTAATGTCACTGTTCCTGATGATGTTGTCGTAGACACAAGTCTTCTAAACTTAGTAACGGTGTCTCTATGTATTTACAAAGCAATTGTTAAGATATACACGTACAGAAAACTTTTTATGAGAAAAGGTTGAATGATATGTTTTCTGACACTTAAGTAAAGATAGATTTAAGAATTGAGTTATTTTATACCATTTATAAATGATGACAATCGTTTAAAGAAGCAACTGTAGGAAGACAAAACCTCTTTTGTCATTGTTCTATTGTTAAGTTTTGAATAACATAATTGCTTAGGAATTTTGGTTCGTATTCCTTATGGATACTTATGTATAGATTATTATTTATTAAAATGAAATTGGTCAAGAAAGGCGGAGCCGTTTGACTAATTTAATGTGGTAAATGCTTACTAATGAATGCTAACCAATTTAGTGCTTGAAAAAATGTGTATGCCTTGAGTGTCCTGAGAAAATATTTATGGTAAACATACCTTACTGAATTATATAGACTAGAAATGTGTTGTGGTTAAGGCGAAAAACACGTTGCTGAATAGACGATTTATTTACTATGTATATTAATTTTTTCAACTCATTGCCAAGTTATTTTAGTTTTAGATACATAATCATATTCAAAAAGTAGTACATCAATGGCCAAGACTTTATATATCACTTTGAAATAAATAAAACAGTCTTGCCGTACGGCATTTATCAAAATTAATTTACACCTTTGACTGTGAATAAACAACAACAACAACAGCAACAACAGTGCATAAAAATGGGGAAAAACAAACAAAACCAGTCAATTAAAGCAAATTATATTTGTATGCCCTGTAATAATGTTGATATCTTTAACTTTGTTTTCTTCCTCATTCTCGGGGATAAAATTCAATTTTCAATATAATTTGATAACGTCTCTGTTTATGTTAGTAATTTT